GTTCCTAAATTTTTTGAAGTTGGGAGCACCAGTTCTACCAGGTCAAAAAGGTTAATTTCAAGCCCAGTGCACTCACTGTATACTCGCCCTAAATTGCTTCTGAAACTTTATGAGTATTGAGCACAAAGAAGATATGTTGAACAAGAAAAGAACCTATTTTGTCACTACTAATTTTCATAGTAGGAAAATCAAATACAATGTTACATATTTCAATAGTTACATATTTATAGGATTCTTCTTTTGTGTACAACATAAAAAAAGAAGTGCATAAAGGATTGAAACAGGCAAAGTGTTGAGTAAATGATGATGCAGTTTTATAGTCATAGATGATATACAGCATGATACAACTTTCCCTTTACTGGTAGCTAGCACTCACTTTTGGGTATTTACACCTACCTAACTTTAAATAGTAACAGTTCTTCTGCTACAAACAAAAAATAGGTATCATTGGAAAGAAAACTTTGAGCTTATAGTTTAATGCTCAAAATTATAAAACATTATACATTAAGAAGTAATGAGAACGAAAAAATTGTATTGTGTTCAATATTTGTTGACATTAATGTAATACCCTAGAAAATATACTTTGAAAGATTTTGATTTGATCACATCAGTTTATATTTCAAATTTGATGAAGACAGCATCAAAATGAGATTTCTGCAAAAAGTTTCCGGAACTATATGGGTGTCCTTCTCTCCCTCACCGTCAGAGGCAGATTCTCAAAAATGATCATACCAAACTAAGGCCCAATCCCAATTCTATTTTTGTACCCCTACCCCTTCCCCTTGGCCCTTACAACCGTGGGTTAAGGTGAAGGGCTTCAAAATTTACCACTATGAATTGGGACAGCACTACAGCACCTGCACACATCATCATATGTCATAGCCATATCTTGCTTTATATGAGATCAGACGATTGTGACTGCTATAGTTATCCCAGTTGTGCTATGTTTTGTTATTTATCACTAAAAGCATACATTATGTCATCATAACAATCTAATGTGGCAATAAGAGTGTAACTGTACTGTGCATTTACACAGTGGCCATGTTTATCGATACGTAAACACACAAAAACAACATTAACATCATAGCAGACACTGTAAAAAGCCCACTGAACAGCCACTAAACTTTTCTGACAGGGTATTCCAGTGTCATCGAGTGTCAGAATGTTGTGGGACTGCTGGACAGAAGTTATTATTAGGGATTATAGATTGTGAATAGATTGCAAAATTTAGTTTTTTTTATTTTAGCTGTTTTTTAAAAAAGCATAATGGTAAAACACAAACGCGGTTATGAATATATTAAAACATATGTTTGCTTGTTGTAAAAAGTTGTAACCCCTTGGTTTTGAGTGTGGTCTTGAAAAATATTTGTTTAATGGGGTGTATACCACTTGTCCTTAGCCCTACGCCTTCAGACTAAAGAGAATTGGGAAACCACTACCATTTCACGGGTATGCGTAAAACGATGGCTAGGGGTAGAGGGAATGGCTAAGAGGTAGAATTGGGATTGGACCTAAAACATTAACAGTTGCTGAATAATTTGGTCTACATTCACAGTTCATGTATCTTTGGAAAGAAGACACTTTGGGCTGTATTATTATTATTTATTATTTCTTGAACAAATATATGGGATTTGGCGCAATACAGACAAGTAAAAGGTCAAAAGCCACACATCTCCTGAGTATATGTTTTGAATTTGAAAGCAATAAGAGAATTTCTTGAATTATTTTTTGCAATGTCTTGTGATTTTTTTTCTCTCTCATTGTTTGTGGAGAAACAGTCTCATGACTACATGTATGCTGAAGGTTTCTAGCAACTATTTTAGTTTTTTTTACATACCATTTATTTTTAATTGTAAAGTAATCAACATAAATTATAGAGTTCCTGTTTTATTTAATGTGTTAAAGTTTTTAGTTACTGTGATCTCAAAAGATTTATTTATTTACATTAGTTTTTTATATATATATATATATATATATATATATATATATATATATATATATATATATATATATATATATATATAATTTATTTATTTATTTATTTATTTATTTATTTATTTATTTATTTATTTATTTATTTATTTATTTATTTATTTATTTATTTATTTTTCTTTTTTACAAAATTCTACACCAAAATAGCAAAATAAGTCCACAGATTCACAGATTCTGTCTGGCCCTATATGACACTGATATGGTGAATGTTTACTGTAGTGTGTGCTTGTGTTGCAGCTCTTCTTTCAGTCTTCGTCTCTGGTGTGTTGATGGTGTGTGTATGTGTGTGTGTGGCCTCTCTGAGGAAAGAAAGGCTCTTTCTTTTCTCATCTGTTCTACTGAGGAGCTTCTGGTTTCTGCATGTTATTAGCAAAACGCTTGGAGTCACACTTCTCCATCTCTGCGTGTGTATATACATGTGTGGCTTCATGTGGAGGGAGCAACACTTTCTCCTCTTGCGTGAGAGTGTGTGTGTGTGTGTGTCGACTTGTATGTTCATGTATTTTGCTCTCATTCTTCCACTCTTTAATCCGTCATCCTCTACTGATCGCATCCCACAGCGATACTTTATTTCCCTAAATGCTGCTGAAACATTTTTTTTAGAAGTGTGGCAAAACCGAGGCATTGTAAGACACGCAGCCTGTACCAGCATTATGTCTGGTTAATCACGACATAAATACAAATAATAATATGATTACTGAGTCTCCGTTGTCGTGTGGCGCTGGAAAATAACATTTACCATTGCCTTTTTATGTTAATCGTCTTGTTAGCAAATAACAGACTGCTTCTAGTGCTGAGCTAATTCCGCTATTCTTCCAGCTGTGTAGCGAAATATATAAATAAATAAATAAATATATTAAAGCCGAAATAACCTATTTGTAACACACCCACACACGGATATTGCATCATGCGATTGGAGGTGCTGTTCTCTCAAATGTAAAGCCTTTGCTCATTTGCTCTACAATAACCGCACGGTATTAGAGCGACTTTGAATGCATTTGCATGGCAAAGCAGTCATGCACACCTTGAAAAAAGGACCGGGATCCCCTTTTTCTGCAGGTTGGATTTCCCTTTAGAGGCTTTTTGCCCCGATTCAAACTGCTTTTATTCCACTTTTCAATGAGCCTTTCCATTTTTCTTTCTAAACCTTTTCACTATTATGTTGAGTATGCAGATATCATTTGCTGGAAGCCATTCTTGTGGCCTATATTATATTTCTGAAGAGTTTTTATAGGACTTATAGCTCGAATTGAGACAGACAAGCCTTAAAAATGATAAAAACTCATCAAAGAAGGTGTTTTTTTATCAATTAGCAAACAAAATTTGTGAAAAATAAAAAACAGAAATGTAAAAATTAAATGAAACAGCTAAACTACTTTATCGGTATAAATTCATTTATTTTCCTTCGGCTTAGTCCTCATCAGGGGTCACCACAGTGGAATGAACCACCAACTATTCAATCATATGTTTTACGCAGTGGATGCTCTTCCAGCTGCAACTCACTCCTGGGAAACACCCATACACTCACATTCAAACACACACTTATACACTAAGATCAATTTAGTTCAATCAATTCACCTATGGCACATGTCTTTGGACTGTGGGTAACTAGAGCACCCAGAGGAAACCCACACGAACATGCGGAGAACATGCGGAGAACATGCAAACTGCAACAGAAATGCCAACCGGCACAGCCGAAACTTGAACCAGCAAACGTCTTGGTTTAAAGCAACAGTGAGCCACTGAGCCACCGTGCGGCACTATTCATAAATCAAGTACACAAAATATTGAGTTATTTTAACTCAAAGGTGTAAATATGGACAACCCCTTAAAAAGGGTTAACAATTTAATCCCAAAAATTACAACAGCTGAATTTTGTCCTTATTTACCCATATTGTATTTTGTAATAACCCAGCCTGTTTCAGAGTGTTTGTGTATACCTTTAAAGTATATTAATATTTCTGTTAGAAGATTGTAGTAAACATACTAGCTTGTATTATGTAATATCCCCCCATTTAATAATTTACTAATTCATCAATTAATTAGTGCATTTATCAATTCAAACCTAATTTACTTATTTTACCCTACGCAATTCATTTGTAATATATATATATATATATATATATAACAGTTCTGTCTGGTTCTTGAATCTGATTGGCTGATAGCCGTGATATATTTAAGCAATATCTACGCCCATACAGCCTCTTTACCCTTTGTTTATTTCTCATGCCACATACAGCCATCAAAAAGCAAAGACACTACAGTTCTAAAGTTCCATTACAATCTATAAAAGATGCATGCTTAACTGTTTAACTGTCAGCTTATGATTTGAATTCAACTCGGAAGAAAGTACTTCCTCATACAAAAGGGTTTTTGAGACTCTCCATGTTTGATTTTGTTTTTATATACACAATTTTGCTGTTAAACTGCTGTATAAACACAATATCACACTCGTAGCAGTGTGATATGGCTGTATATTGGCACTTGTGGGGGCACTAAGGCAACGGACGCCTTCCACCAGTGCCGATATACAGAAAATATCACACTGCGATATTGCTCATATATATATATATATATATATATATATATATATATATATATATATATATATATATATATATATATATATATGTATGCACTCAGTTATGCTGAGCCCTGCACATGTATCTTAATTTCTGTTAGTTTCTTTGTTTCAGTTTAATGATTTTAGTATATATTAACTTTATTTGTTTAGCTCTGTACTGCAGACAATCACTTGCTATCATTTTTATAAACAATTTGGACTCCCTTGTGAGCAAAATTATATTATCAGACATATATTGATTGATTAAATCTACAAATATGCACACTTTAGATTTATTTGCCTTAACAATTTTTATTGTAGAGATTTCTTTTAGAAGTTAGAGTGTATTAAACTCTAGCCTTTATTTATTTACTTTTGCATACATATTATTTATATACTTATTACTGTAGATATCAATTCTGAATTAAAAGACCACACATTTTTG